ACTACTCTTCTGCAATTCCTAGGTAGCATTCATCGTACCCTAAACCCTTAGGGTGGTGCAAGATTGCCTCCCCTAACAGTTGCAAGGCAGAGTCCAAGTTTTTGTTGGGTTCAGGGGCTTAGGAATCTCTAGGATTTGTTTGATTTAGGTTTAAGGTTTCAGGGCTTACATTCGGGCGCAGGCGGACGGGGAAGCGAGTTGGAGTTGAAGGGTTTTATATGGGGGATTAAATAGGAGACTACTATAGGGATTATTAAGGTGGATACTAGGAATTTAGGCCATAGCTCATGTACAAGTATGCGCACGGCAACTTCATGCATCAGCATACTGGGTGGTACATGCAACCCTAACCCTAAACCCTAAACCCTAAACCCTAAACCCCTGAACCCTAAACCCTAAGCCACGAAAGCTAGCCGCCCACTCTTTTCCTGAAGCTCCAAAGCCGGAAGTGGACAATGATCCCTAGGTATCCCTATAAAAATCTGTATATGAGCTAAAGTCTAAACTTCTTAAAGGGGGGTTATATAGGGAATTGTATAGGGGACTACTATAGGGCTTATTAAGGGGATACTAGGAGTTTAGACAGTAGTACATATAATCCTTGTATATCCCCATATATACTTGCAAAATCCCCAAATATGCCTGTATATCCCTTGTCCTCAAACTGCAAAGTCGGAAGTGGAGCAAGCCATCAAGACAGGTTCATCCTTGATTGGTGGCGCATTCAGCAGGCATCTGGCGAGTGTTGAGGGGTTCAGAAGGCATTGACCAGGTTATCCGCCTGCTCTTGCTTTAGGGTTTGGGGTTTAGGGTTACCTCCCGCTACCTCCTCCTGCTACCTTCTCCTACTTCTTCCTCCTCCTCACCGTTTGGTTCTCCTCATGGCGGCTTCTGTGATGATATTTGGTTCTTGTTGCCTGGGTTCTCATCCCTAAACTCTAAACCCTAAACCCTAAACCGTGTAGATTTTGGTTCAGGGCTGTGGGCTGGGACTTGCAGGTCTGGAGCACAGGAATTCAAAGCACCAACCTCTACAGGCCGTAAACAGGGAGGGTCAGGGTGGCTTGGTAAGTAGGTTAATAATGGGGGTGAGTGGGATTCGGGTGTAGGGTTTAGGGTTTAGGGGTTTAGGGTTTAGCGTTTAGGGTATGGGTTACGGGGTTATTAACCTACCTACTAGATCCCCCTGATCCTCCAAGTACAGGGCGTCCTGATCTCCCGATCATGAAAGATGCTGGGTGGGTACTAACTATGCGGTGGGGATTACTCCTTATCGTGATAGGTCTTCAGCATTCTGCCTCAAGCCTTACGGAGCCCCAACCTTAAACTCCTTAGGCCACACGGCCTAAACCAACAAACCTGCAACCGCCAAACTCTAAACCGTAAAGCCTGAACCCTAAACTCTACTCCAAACACAAAACCTTAAAACCTCAGTCCCCATCCTGAACCTTGAGCCACCTCGCCATGGGCCCTACATGTCCCGTCATATCTCCTGAGCCACCAGACGAGAACAATAAGCTGAACCACCTTTGTTTAGGATTTAGGGTTAGGGTTTAGGTTGATGTTAAGGAATTTAAATCAAGATCATATGGGTATATAGCAAATAATGGGGCTTCCTTGTTATAGTAACTTCTTTCAAGTTATCTATCCGCAGCCCAGACTCTTCCCAAGCAAGGCGCTCCTGCACCCCAGGCCCCACAGTGCCCTGAACTCAGTATTCCTGAAACCTAAACCCTGAAACCTGAACTCTAAACCCTGAAACCTAAACCCTGAAATCCTAAACCCTAAACAGCCTTGCTGCGAGCGAGGCCAATTCAGTGCAAGACGCCGTGACGCGCTATCGAGAACGCTGCCACACCATCCTCCCGCCCAACCCTGCGGAAAAAGCAGTGAGTTTAAGGGTTTTAGGGGGTTTAGGGTTTCAGGGTTAAGGGTTTCAGGGTTTAGGGTCTCAGGGTTTAGGGTTTTTAGGTCTTAGGGTTTTAATGTTTTAGGGTTTAGTGATGGGCATCCTTAAAGGAGGCGTATGTAGACCTGATATAGCCCCGTTACCCCTCGAGCCTTTTATGGTGCTTCTCATCTGGTAATTATGGATAGGGTCAACATAACTGCAATGGCGTTCCGAGTCATACGCCAGCAGTAGGCTTGATGTTCGTCGGTCATCTCGCTGACGCCATCATCACCCATCACCGGGTTTAGGGTTTACAGTCCCCCGTAAGTAGATAGAATGTAGGGTATATGGGGATCTTATTATATACCCAAAGCCATATTCTATCTACTTAAGGGGGACTATAGGGTTAAGGGAGCCCTCGACAGACTTACCTCTGTCACACAGATTATGAAGATGACCCAGCAGGCTTCTACTCGAAAGGGGCTGCAATGGAAACCTCAAACAGTGAGCTTCAGTAGTAAGTTAGGAATTTTTAACGGGGTTAGGGTTTCGGAATAGAAGGGCCCTGGTAGGTAGTTTAAAGATTCTTTACAATATGAGAGCCTGTGTGATAATTTCAATTGCCAAGCTGCAGCTGTCAGTTCTAAACCTCAAACCCCAAACCCTAAACTCCCGAGACCCTGAACCCTAAACCCCAAACCCCAAACCCTTAACCGGAGACCCTGAACCCTAAACCCCAAACCCTAAACCCTAATGGTCCCCGAGGCGCACCTCCTTGAGCGTTACTGCTTATGTACCCTGCAGACCCTAAATCCTAAGCCGTTTTCCAGCCTCAACCCTAGACCTAAATCCTTCAATCCTAAAGCCTTCAAAGGCTAAACCCTACATCCTAAGCCCTACATCCTAAACCCTACTTGAAGGGTCAGGGGACTTAGTAACTATGTTAGTAACACCGAAAAAAACCCCCTAATCATCCGCATTATTACTTACTAAGTCGTTTCTTGACCCTCCAAGTACATCCTAAACCTTAAGCCCTAAACCTTAAATCCTATGCCCTGAACCCTGGAGCCTCAACCTCCATGCCTTTATTAAGTATGGCCTGGCCACGTTCAGAAGAGTTTTGAGGTCGTGTAAAAGTAGAGTTTTAGGGGTTCAGGGCTCAGGATGAAGGAGCTTCTAAAAGCATAGTTTGGGTATTGCCCCCACCCAGTAACAGGCTTAGGGTTTAGGGTTTAGGAGTTTAGGGTTTAGGGGTTTAGGGTTTAGGAGTTTAGGGATTTAGGGTTTAGGGGTTTAGGGTTTTTAGGGGTCCTATTAAGGGCTATATATAGCCATATTATAATTATTATCCAACTGTTACTGAGGGGGGCAGTACCCAAAGCATAGTGCCATATATACCTCCCCGAACATTATTCCAACTCCTAGGCCCTGTGTGAGCTATAGTCTAAATTCTTTAAAGGGTGTATATGTAGGGGATTATGTAGGGTTTAGGGTTTAGGGTCTGAACTCCTTAAAGGGGCTTATATAGGGGAGTATTATGGGGCATTCTAAGGGCGATCCTAGGAGTTTAGATTATAGCTCATGCTATAATGGCATACAGGTACATGGGGGCTGCAAGAGTTCGAGTTCATAGTGTTCAATAAGGACCAAATTGGAGTCATATGCGGTCTTGTAAATACCTAGAGGTTGTAATGGTAAACCCTATCTTCAACCCCTATACTCTAAACCCGAGACCCTACGTTTGGGGTTTACATTTCCCAACAGTCAGGGGTTCCTGATTGTGCCTCGAGCAGGGTTCCTTTTGGGGACCACAATTCATGTCCGTATACCCATTGAGCGAATTTTTTCGTTCCCAAATATACAAGTTTCTATAACTCGCAGCTACCAGGTGGGTTGTGCATGGATTTCATTGAAGCATGGGTCAATGTTCTCGGACGACGAGCTAACTAGACTGCAAAAGGGCTTGTGGCAGTCTAGTGTCCCTCTACCATCCTGGCCAAAAATATGCGAAGCGCTGTAGCCTGGGTTTAATGTCCTGTAGCTGGGATAGTAAAGTGGACCGCGCCTGATTGTCTTTTCTGAGCTTTGGCCGGAGTATGAACTTTTCCAGAACGAGGGTTCAGGTTTCTTGACGTCCTCAACATTAGCCCTGAACCTAACGAACCTAACCCCGAAACCCCTAAGTCCTTGGCGCTTAGCTAGCTGTGTGGCCGTCATGTGTTAATTACCATATCCTTGCCATGCTCTTTGTAGCAGCCACTTGGATGCTCGAACGTGGGCGACAAGGTTCTGATCAGTAGTTATTCTCATTCATAATGCGTACTACAGTTTGTCCTAGTAAGACGTGCGCCAGCGAAAGTATCCAAGCCTAAGCCCGAAACCCAAACCCTGTAGGCCTTCTTGCCGCAGGTGACCCGTCGATTGTACGAGCCACTGATCGACAAGACGGTCGACAAAGAGGCAAGCTTCAGCTCTAGGGTTTATAATGGGTTATATAGGGGTTATCTCGGGATAATGGGATAATGGAAAATAAAATGAAACTACTATTTAGGGTTTAGGGTTTAGGGTATAATCCCCCCTACGTAGACAGGACATGGCTTTGGGTATATGATAATAAGATCCCCATATACCCCATATTTCATCTACTTAAGGGGGACTATAGGATTTCCGGGTTTAGGGGCTTAGGGTTGCAAGGGTTGAAAGGGTTTAGGGTTCAGATGCTTTGATGTGTTTAGGGTTTAGGGCGCTTGCAACTAAGGAGCGGAATTTCGGTTTCACCATTGTCTACGACCTGCATGTTCACTTACTGCTGGTTAAGAGGCAGGAAGGGAATGTAAGCCTTAATAACCACTACTTCCCACCCTAAACCCTAAACCCTAAACCTTAATTAAAACCTAAACCCTAAACCCTAAACCCTACCCCTTGTTTCCTACTAACCCCCAGTAAGTTGACTACTTGTCCGAAGCTGTCCAACATCCTCCGAAGCCGAGAACTCTGAGGTGCTCCAATTTAGGGGTTTAGGGGGTTAGGGGTTTAGGGTTTAGGGTTTAGGGGTAGGGTTTAGGGTTTTAGGGGTTAGGGGTTTAGGGTTTAGGGTAGGAACTGAGCCATGGCAGAAGCCTCAATGCCCAACAACGTGGCTGATCTGTGCACAATGGCCGGCGATGCTGGGTTGCGACTACTTACTTTTGGTTAGCTGGGAATGAAGGAATGGACAAGAACATGGAAACTGTTATAATGGGTTATATAGGGACTACTATAAGGATCCAGTCCTGAACCTTAGATCCCAAACCCTAAACCCTAGACCCTGAACCCATATGGGACTACCACAAGGATCCATTCCTTCATTCCTAGCTAACTGAAGGTAAGATAAAGGAGCTTCAGGTCTTGCTTGGTAGGGTTGTAGGGTTTAGGGTTTAGAGATTAGGGTTTCAGGGTTTAGGGTTTAGGGATTAGGATTTAGAGATTAGGGTTTAGAGGGTTGTAAGGTTTTATAGGGGTTGTACAGGGATTCTTTTGGGAGTATGTAGAGGTCAGGGTTAAGTTGCCAAAGCATGATTATTTTTTGTTGTTATTACTGTTATTATTGTTATTCTTGCTATATATATATATACACACATACACAGACACTCATATACTTTATACATACATACATATATATATATATGTATATACATGTGTGTGTATACACGTAAACAAAGCCAACCACAGCCCAGGATGTGCTCATGAGGCTTGAGCTTCGTCCAGACGAAGTAGCAGCAGTCGCCATGAAAGAGGCGCTTGCGTCGCTACCGGGCAGACAAGGCCAAATGCCACTTCGCTTTTTGTATGGTAGCATGCTTCTTTCTGAGACAATGCTGGTCAAGGACATTGGATTCCCACTGACAGGTGTGGCTGAAGTCAGTATCGCTGTTGACAGCCGTGGCGCCTTTCAGTGGAAGTACTGCCAGGATGGTGATGGGCACATAGCTCCCAATGGTGATCTCTACAGAAGAGGCATTATACCAAACAAAACTCATGGCATCCGCTCAGCTGCGTGCCTGCCCCGTGGCGTAAAGGTGTATCTTGGCTTCAAGCCCGTCGGCACCCATGCTTGTTTTGGAGTGGGGACAGGATCAGTGGAGCTTTCTGCAAACGGTTACTGCACACTCTATGGGCAGGACCACAACAGCTGGGCGATAGCCTCGACAGATAACAAGCTGGAAGCTCTACATGCTGGAAAGGCTTTTGAGTTCTTCAGAGCAGGTGCGAAGACGATTCCAGTTTCTGGCGACGATCTCACGCTCCCACCGATAAATCGCATTCAGGTAAGTTTCTAGGAACCCTAGTGGTACCCTTTTACCCTTTTTGGGTTCTGGGTTCCCATATATAATATACCAACAGAAAAAAGGGTACCCTTATTGTAATATGGTTACTGGGCTACCAAGGTTTTCTGCTTGACCTAGACGGCAGCTTCTCTGTCTGGCTACCAGGATCCTCCGAGGAGGATTTTCTTGTGGTGCCCTTTCAGGTGCCTAAGGATGTGGAGGTGTATGTTGTTGCTTCCACAGACTGGGGTAACGGTGAGATAACTATCTCGCAGACACCCCCTGGAGCCCAAGCTTTGGAGGAGGAGGACCTCTGGTGAATCTAGAATGCAGTACCCCCAAAAAGGTGTACTGATTTTTAGAAACGTTCTGCGCAGCATCAAACGGGATGCAGTTTCTAGATCTTTCCAAGTGTCTGGCTTCGTGGCACGGATCTATCAGGTGCACAAGTTTGAGCCTCCTTCTCTCTTGCCTAGAGGCTGCAACATGCCTGCTTAGCTCCTTTCATGCGGGTTATTCTCGAAATTCTGGGACCCTTTTGGTTATAGATTGTATTACACGGTACCTAATATCTAGGGCTACCAAAATGGGACCCTAATTGTGGAAACTACGCACGTGACTGCTATGTACAGGGCCGTTGGACAGAACGTGCGTGTGATGCTCAAGCGCTGCAACAACTTCAAAAACTACACAAAGCCTTTCAAAAGTTTTTGGGGGTGAACATAATTGGGGATATGTTTTCTAGCTGGGCAGAGAAAGATTTTCCCCTAGAATCTACACTCCCCCAAACTGACATGGAAACCCATATAGCCGCCCTTTGGAAGGACTGTAGTCTTTACAGGACCCTAAACCCTAAACCCTTCCATGTTAGTTTCCGGGAGGGTAACTCCCCAAACCTTAAGTTGCCTGCGGCAGCCTACAGCTGTGCAGCTTAATGGCCTTAACATTAGGATCCCTTGTATAATCACTATGAAATACCCCATTGTACTATATAGTACTTTCCATGTTCTTTTCCATTATCCTTATATTCCCTATTATAATCCCTATTCATGGGAGGAGTTTTACTAATCTCAGAAACTAAACCCTAACTCCTAAACGTTTGGAGTTTTGGGGTGTGTAGTACCTCGCGTTCGAATACTCTCAAGTTGCATAAATACACCACCCCACACCCAGACCCCAGGAGTATCAAAAAAGTGGATCCCTCTGAAAGGCTGCTGGACATTGCCAAATTACAGTATGGAGCACCACATTGGGGTTCTGGTATATGGGTTGTTCTCTGCCTTTTGGCTATGATCTCCAATCATCCCCGATTGGTCGTGTTTGAATGCCATCCTTCCATCGCCATAAATTCTTTCAGCATGATTCTGCGTGCTCCGGATGCTTGTGCGGCTACGTGGCATAGTGGTTAAAAAGGTATATGGGTTGTTCTCAGAATTATGGGCCCTTTCTTGGTTATGGATTATATTATGGCACCTAATATTTAGGGAAACAAAATGGGACCCTAATCTGGACAACCACCCATATACATCCTCTAGGAGGTGTGAGCAGCGTCCCCTCAGCGTTGCGACTGCTGCAGTGTCACACCGTGAATAGCTGTCTAAAATGTGCTGGGTTTAGGGTTTAGGGTTGCAAAATATGGTAGTTTCCTGAAATAAGCCCAATGTAGACCCCAAAATACTATATATAGTCCTTATTATAGGGACCCCCAAAATGGTAACCCTAAACTGGGAAACCCCCATATGCTTGTTACAGAGTGGGGACGGCCAATTTCACAGCCAAACCCCTAGACCCTAGATTTGAAACCCCAATCCCTTAACCAAAATGTCCAGCATAACATTGAACCCCTTAACCCTAGACCCTAGACTCCAAACCCTTAACCCTAAACCCTTCACCCTCAATCCCAGTCCCTTAACCAAAAAGCCTTCATTCTTTTATTCTCAGGGCCTTGCCGGACCGGAGCGCTTGCAGCGCATTGCCGAGTGAGCCCGGCCTTTCTTTTCATGGGTTCGGCTACTATCCCCCTCTATACTACCCCCCCAGGTTCCCCCTTAGGGATAGTTAGCCCTAATTAAGGTTGGGGTTTTGGGGGTTTAGGGTCTAGGGTTTGGGGATATTCAGGCCAAATTCAGGTTAATTAAGGGGGATCCTAGGGGGGAAGTGTAGAGGGGGGTAGTACGGGAACCCATGATATCGGTATTTCTCAATATAACCCCTATATAATTTTTTTAAAGGGGGCCCTATATAATCCCCTTATAATCCTTCTATACCCCTTGGGTTGCTAGGGCCCCCCTTTTTGAGACTCTAAACCCTAAACCCTAAACCCTAATATTTTTTTCGGAGCCAGTGTGAGTATGGAGTTCAGGACTCCGGGCCAGGCCCTCAACCCTGGGCTTAGAGTTTCAGGGGTTTAGGGGTTTAGGGGTTTTAGGGGTTTAGGGGTTTTACGCTTTAGGGCTTAGGAGTTTAGAGTTTTAGGGGCTGTGTGAGTGTTGGAGGGTTTACAGTTCAGAGTTGGGGTTTAGCGCCATCAGGAGCATTGTTGATTGCGATAGCATCGTTCGGGTTCAGGGTTTAGACTTGTTACGCTAGCCTCATAGAGGATCTCGCATGCAACAGGATTATTCCTGGTAATGTTGATAACTGTTGATATTTGTATAAAGGGTGGAATACATCGAACATGGATTTTTTTTCAGCGGTATCCTATCGAGGCATGTGTGTTGTGAAACATAGTACTGGATAGGCATTCGAGATCTCATTGCCGCACGAAGATTGTTTCCAGGGTCTAGGGTTTATGGCCTAGGGCTTAGGGTTTAGGGTTTAGGGCTGCGATTTTGCACGTGGAGTTCCAGGAATCAAGGTTTCTGATTCCAGCTGCCAGGCGTTATGATGGCTTACAACTTTGACTTTAGAAGCAGAGGCTAGTTTCTTTTCTATTCTGCTGCTTAGGGGGTTTAGGACACGGGTGTCACCTTTATGAACTTGAGACAGTAGGTCCCCATTGGAGGATAGCTGTGGCTTGAGATTCATGACGAATTGGGTTTAGGGTTCAGGGTGTAGGGTTCAGGGTTTAGGGTTCAGGGTTTAGGTTTAGGGGTTTGGGGTTTAGGGGTTTAGGGTTTTGTCCCCTCCTTCTTTGGCTGGGTAAGGTTCAGGACATCCAATTCCGCAAGCATTAATTGATACCTTCAGATTGGCAGTGAGGCAGTTGCTACATAGGGTCTGTAAACCTTGAACAAGCCTGCACCCGCTGACACTCCGGCAGCAATGGTAGCTGTCTTTTCGCTATGCATGGAATACGCAGCAAACTCAACAATGCTCCTTGCACCTTGAACGATGTACTTGAATATAAACCCAGAACCCCCCCAAGGATCCAAGACTTTAGCCCTCTAGTGACCTAGTTTCCCCAATAAAGTGAAGGGTTCATGTTGCGGGGGCTCCATTTTTTGGATCCTTTAGGGGCTCTAAAGCCCAACCATAAATCCTAAACCCTAAACCCTAAATCCTAAACCCTAAACCTCAGTTGGTAACCTAAAGCTCTAAATCTACCAGGCCTCAAGGGGTTCAGGCAGCCGCTTGCCCTGTGGAAGGTACCGGCGGCAAGTTCGCGTCCCATCGCCCCGGCCCCAGCTTTTTGCAACGCTTGCTGGGTATTGGGGACGTAGTAGGTAGGTTAGGGTTTAGGGTTTAGAGTTTAGGGTTTAGGGTTTAGGGTCAGGGGGACTTAGTAAGTAGGTTAGGGTCTAGGGTTTAGGGTTTAGGGTTTAGGGTCAGGGGGACTCAGTAAGTAGGTTAATCATGGGGATATGTAGGCTTACTATATGGGTTATAGGGGCAATTAACCTACTTACTACGTCCCCCTGACCCTCCAAGTAGGGCATGAGGGGCTGCACCTCCATAATAATTCTTGTGCAAAGCTTAGGGCTATTCATGGCACCTGTAACAAATCACCCACGTCTTCTGAGCAGCAGGGAAAAGTGCTAGCCCGCTCGGCATTTTTTTGCTGTGTGAGAAACCCTAGGAATTCGGACGACATTGCAAGTTCTGCCATGATGTAAGGAGCAATAACGTGGCTGGCTGCCCCAACCCCTAAACCTCTAAACCCTAAACCCTATATATCCCTATCTACCCCTACATAACCCCTTAAAAGGGGTACTATATAATTAATCCCACTATCCCAAGCGCTCTAGCCATCCTTAGGATCCTTCATGTCTAGTAGTTTCCATAAATAGGGGGACCCCAATATCGACCCAAAAATGCCTTAGTCCTTCTTATGGCAAGCCCAAAACAGGTACCCCGGAATATAGGCAACCCCAAACCCTAAGCCGTGAAACCGATATATCCCTACATAAACCTGATACTACCCGTATAAACTCTTTCAAGGTACCCCTAAACTTGGGAAACCCCTTCTACATGTCCCTATACAAGCCCTATATAGCCTTATCTAAAAAACCCTAAACCCTAAACCCTATAAACCCTCTAGACGCCATTCTCCTCTCGGCACTGAGTCCTCACAAGCCCCTGGGTCTTCCCAATCGACCCCCCAAACCAAAATTCTTGAACCCTGAAGCACAGGCACCTGCATGGGAGAGTAGATATTCCTTGAAGGCCCTAATATATAATCCTTGTCTGCAATCCCTGCGTATGCCTGAGGTCCCTCAAACCCTGCTGAATCCTAGACCCTAAACTCTGAACCTCCCGTTTCAGAAAGGCACAAACAGTCCCACACGTATTCTGTCCGAGCCGCTGAGGCCTCAACAGCTTCTCCTTCTTCGGCGCTGCATTTTCTGCGATTTGGCTTAGGGATTCCACGCGGTTCAGGGCGTCTGGGGCTTGTAAACTATTAGCTCCAAGCCAAAAACTAAAGGTTTGAGGAAGGTGCATAGGATTCAGGTCTGGACTTGCGAAGGGGGGTTGCCTTGGACTGTTAGGATTGGAGATCAGGTCCTCGTGGACTTTCCTGAAGGTGTTGGGATAAGAGCTTTTGTCGCTTGAGCTTTATGCGGGAGAACTGTTGCGACAGGAGACTTGGGGCTCGGGGGTCGGACGGTTTCGGGGTTTAAGGTTGTAGGTTTTAAGCTTTGTTTAGTTTTGATGTTTGAAGCGTGTAGGCTTGGGTTGTTTGACTAGCGCTTGTTTGCGCGAGGGAGACAGTGAGAATGGAGCCTTGCTCTAGCAGTGAATATTACAATGGCCATGAGGACAAAGGCCACGATGCCACTAACACGAATGCAGACTCGTGATTAATAACCTCCTTCCTTCTAAGAGCCTAAATACTGGGATCTCTATTATTAGGAGAGGGGTTTATTAATCATGGGTCTGG